TGACCAAGATGATATCGTCAACATAGGCCAGTAGGTACATAGTAACTGTAGGCCGCTGAAGAAGAAATAACGAGGTATCGGCCAGAGAGGGAACAAATCCATGAGCCCGAAGAGTGGTGCCAAGCACGCGGAGCCTGCTTCAGACCATAGAGTGCCTTAACAAGACGACATAGATGCTGCGGACGAGCTGGATCAACAAAACCGGGAGGCTGACGCATGTAAACCTCCTCCTCAAGAACACCATGAAGGAAAGCATTCTGAACATCAAGCTGACGAAGAGACCATCCACGGGTAATTGCCAGTGAGAGCAGAAGCCGAATCATGGTCGGTTTGACCACTGGACTGAAGGTGTCCTCGTAATCAAGGCCATGGTGTTGTTTGAATCCTTTAGCAACCAGTCGAGCCTTGTATCTCTCGATAGAACCATCAGCATGTTTCTTTACCTTGAAGACCCACTTTAAGTCAATGATGTTGACACCAGCCTTGGGAGGAACCAGTCGCCACGTTTTATTCTTAAGAAGAGCGTGGTATTCTTGTTCCATCGCAGTACGCCAGTGAGGGATACTCAGGGCAGCCTGAAAATGTCGAGGCTCAGCAGTAGGGTCGGACTGCGCCTGCGCCATGCAAGTCGCAAGCCAGGCCACCGTGCCATCCTTGCGTTCCTTAGGACGAAACACCCCACTTTTGCTGCGTGTATGAGGACGCAACACCGGGGGTGGAGCAGGTGGCGAAACCGATGGTGAGGATGATGAAGTGGGCGCAACATCCGTCATGGCAGAGGCTGATGCAGTCGATGGCGGTGACGAGGAAGACATAGCAGGAGACGCCAACCCACTCGAGGGCGACGCCGATCCAAACGAGCGGGACAAGTGCCGCACGAGCGATGAGGATGACACGGAACTCCTAGGAGAAGACGGCCCAGGCGTCGATGGCGGGCATGCGTCGGTGCAGGTGACGGCCCAGGCATCGATGGCGAGGACGCCGGCGCAGACGTGACGGCCCGCTAGGCCGACGCGCCAGTCAGCAAAAGCGGCGGCTGGGCCGGAGTGGTGACGCGTGGTGCAGCAGCCGCGATCACGGGCACAGGCGGGCTCGTTGCATGGGACATGCACGAAGCCAGCCGATCGACATGAGAGGGTGGTGATGGCGTAGCCGTCGGGGATGAGGGAGACAGAGTATCAACCTCATCCAGGAGCTCAAGCCGCGCACATCTCCCATTACCTGCACCATGGTTAGACAACAAAGAGGGCGAATGTGCAACATCTACAAATTGATCAGGCAATATAGTGGATGGGTGCACTGGCGGTGTGGAGTTTGTGTCAGGTGAGGGAAGAGCAGCAAAGGGAAAAACGTGCTCATCAAAAACAACATCTCGGGAGATATACACACAATTAGACGGGACATGAAGGCACTTATACCCTTTGTGAACAGAACTATATCCTAGAAAGACACACTTCTTTGATCGGAACTCAAGCTTGTGATTATTATATGGACGGAGATGCGGCCAACACGCACAACCAAACACTTTAAGAAACGTGTAATCAGAAGTCTGACCAAGCAAGAGTTCAAGTGGAGTTTTCATATGAAGGAGCCGCGAAGGAAGCCTATTTATAAGAAAACAGGCTGTAGTAAAAGCATCGCTCCAAAAACGAAACGGGACAGAGGCATGAGCAAGCAAGGTTAACCCAGTTTCAATAATATGACGGTGCTTACGTTCAGCTGAACCATTCTGCTGATGTGTATGTGGGCAAGAAACACGATGAGCAATTCCAAGTTTTTCAAAGAAAGTACTGAGGTTGCGGTATTCACCCCCCAGTCTGACTGTACATGAATGATTTTATGATCTAGGAGTCTCTCAACATGTGCTTGAAATTGTAAAAACACATTAAACACATCAGACTTATGCTTAAGAAGATAAATCCAGGTAAAGCGACTATAAGCATCAATGAAACTGACATAATGTTCGTGCCCACTAACGGACAGCTGGGCAGGACCCCATACATCCGAAAACACAAGCTCAAGAGGAGTTTTGACTATATGTGTAGAAACAGAAAAAGGTAACTGATGGCTCTTGCCTTGCTGGCAGGCATCACAAACAGCGGCATCTTTATTACTAGACTCGGACGGTAGCTCATGACGATGAAGGACATGGCGAACAATGGGAGATGCTGGGTGACCAAGACGAGAGTGCCATAGTGATGGAGACACACGAACGCCACTGAAGACTTGGAACGCAGCAGCAGGAGCGGGAACGTCGGTGGGGGCATCAAGAGCATATAGACCATGGCGGTAGCGACCTCTAAGAAGTATGTTCCTCGTAGCACGATCCTTAATAAAGAAATGAAACGGGTGAAACTCACAGAAAACATTATTATCCTGTGTAAGTTTTGGAACAGAGAGTAAATTACGTGCAACTGTGGGAACACGAAGAACATTTCTAAGATGCAATGTCCTAGAGGCGTTTGTGAGAAGTGATGCCTGACCAACATGCGAAATGTGCATACCTGCCCCGTTAGCTGTGTGAACCTTGTCATGCCCACGGTAAGGTTGCTGGACAGTTAGCTTGCCCAGCTCGTTCATGACGTGCGTGGTTGCTCCAGTATCCATGTACCAAGAAGGATCAACAGGATAAGAAGGGGTGTGACCCTGTTGCGCCATGTTAACTTGACGCTCGTTGCCCTTGCCATTATTGCCGAGGCCAAGGAAGTCCGTCTTGAACCGGCGATGACAGCGAGAGGCGACATGGCGAGGCAGGCCACAGAGCTGACATGGTTGAGCCGCACCACAGGCGGTACAGTAGGCGCAGGCGCGGCCGTCAATGACGACTACCGGGGCACCAGAACGCGGGGCCTGCTACTGTTGTGCCGAGGGCACACCACCACCGGACTTGCCCCCTCCTCCCGAGGAAGCTGCAGAGGGGCCACGGCCACCGCCTTTGCCGCGGTACACGGCGTTGACGGAGGAGTCGATGGAGACGTCGGGGCAGCGCGTGTTGAGCCATTGCTCCGTTGACAAGAGACGGCTGTAGAGTTCCTGAGGACGAAGAGGCTCCTTGCGTTCATTAATCACCTCGGCAAGCGAGTCGTAGTCGCTGTCGAGGCCGTCTAGGATGAAGGATGTGAACTCGCTGTCACGAAGGGGCTCTCCAATGGAAGCAAGAGTGTCAGCCAACTTCTTGATCTTGTTGTAGAAGGTGGTCACCGTACCATTGTCCTTGCGAGTTACACCAAGCTTGGCACGGATGGCCATGGATTGAGCAGTAGACTGAGACGAGAAACTCGACTCCAGGATGTCCCACACCTCATGAGAGGACGAGCCCGGCCACACCCTCACCCAGAGAAGACTGGATGGCTGAGAGGATGGCTTGGTCCTGAGCGATCCACGCACTGAACATCAGATGATGTGGCGGTGGACATGGCAGTGTACCGTTGACGAACCCCTCCAAGTAATGGCTGCGAAGGAGAGGAAGCACCTGAGCACGCCAATATAGATAATTGTCCGGTTTAAGCTTCACCGGAAGGAGGTGCGAGAATAAAAACGGCGGCGAGGAGATCGCCGCCAAAGCAGCTTCGGCATCCACGTATGGCGTCAGAGAGGGCATTGGTGCAGATGGTGCCGCAGCCGGTGCGTACAGGTGCGAGGGGCCGTACGGGAAGGGCGCCCCATAGGGCGGCGGAGCCGGGTACGCGCCCTGGCCAGGGTACGCACCATAGGAAGGACGCGCAGGTGGCGACGGGCCGTACGGCGCCGCGTACAGTGGGTAGCCGCCGTGATTGGCATGGGCGGCATCGGCAACAGTAGGGCCGACTGCGGTGTAGATGGAGGCAGACGGAGCAGGCGCAATCGCACGCATCTGGTGCGACGCGGTAGGTGGTGGCGGCGCGGGCACAAGGGAGTGCACGGCAGCCGGCGGCGGCGACGGTTGCTGGGACCGGGCCGAAGCAGCAGGCGATGAAGAGGAGACGCCGGCGTACAGCGAAGACACCGGGCCGGCGAAGAGAGACCCAGCCGATTGAGTCTGCAGGGGGCCGAGCGATCCGTCCGTCGTGTAGGGCGCAGTCCCGACGTTGAGGAGACGCGTGAGGGACGGCGGGAGGAACGAGTGATCCATGTGGACGGGGGCCGGCGGCAGAAGGGCGGGGAAGGAAACCACGGTGCCGGCGGTGCTTGAGGCGGCGGCGGCGGCTAGTGGCGGAGGCGGAGCGGAAGACATTAGATCGTTAGGTCGGATATCATATTAGACAAGGGTTTTAGGGTTTGTGGCACACCTCCAAACGTGGGGTGACCTTTCCATTATATAGTGATGTACAACATAATTACAAATGGGGCTCAGTATATACAGAGTCTAACACTCAACCCGCACCGTGCTGGACACTACTAAATAAACTACACTGTTCAGGTCGTTTCTTGCCGTGTTCAGTACTTCAGTTAACAGACGGACCCGTTAGTCGTCAAAAAAGTTTGCATGGTGGTGCAGGAGTAGCACACAGTCTTTGCAAGAAATCTCGCACTCCCCACCAACTTTGCATTGTTCGGCGGTGAATTACATGCAGCACTGAGTACTGACCATCGATAAAGCACCGGTTCGATAGGCATTGCACGCACAAAGATCTCGCAGTCTCGCGGTTTATAGGAATACGGAAACAAGATGCATTGCACCCAAGTCGGCAAGTGCATAAAGCAGCGCTTTCCATCGTTAGAAAACTGCATTCCTGCCTGTCGATGAGTGATCATCGGTAAAACGGAGAAGAAACCGGTCTCTTCGCGCACACGCCTCGCGCCCTGAACGAGCCCCATTGGCTCGACCAAACACTAAACAAGCGCCGGTTGGTAAGGTGGCTGATTCATCGTGACGGGTCCAAATCAATCTCGCTGGAGTGCTATATAAACCCACGGCTCCAATCCTATATCTAGTCACATCCGAGTATCATCTCATCACTAGCTGACATTGGTACAAAGTGTTAATTTGCGACTAGCTTGATTCTTGAGATTTTGAGAACATGGCGGCGCCTCTTCTTTGCTTCGCCGTCGTGGCCGCGGCGGCTTTCGCCGGCGCGTCGGGGCAGGAGCTCACCGCGGACTACTACGACGAGGCGTGCCCGCAGGCGCTCTCGGCCATCAAGCTCGTCGTCGGTGCGGCCATCGTCAAGGAGCCGAGGATGGGCGCCTCCCTCGTCCGGCTGCACTTCCACGACTGCTTCGTCAACGTACGTGAGCTTGATCGTTGAATTACTTCATTCATGTCCATCGATCGCATGTTCCAGACGTTTTTGTGTCCAATCTTTTCAGGGCTGCGACGGCTCCATTCTGCTGGACGACACCGAGGGCATGGTCGGGGAGAAGACGTCCAAGGCCAACAACATGTCGGTGAGAGGGTTCGGCGTCATCGACGCCATCAAGACCGCCGTCAACACGGCGTGCCTGGGGAATGTCGTCTCCTGCGCCGACATCCTCGCTGTTGCCGCTCGCGACTCCATTGTTGCAGTAAGCTCACTGTTAGCTTTTTTCTCTACCTTGTTTCTGTAAGAGCTTGCATGCAAATCGTCAATGGAGTGTAGCAGCGACGAGCACTAACCGTAAGATAAGAAATAGTATTGTAAGGAGTCCACTTTACGAGCAGTATCTTCGACCTAACCGCACCTTGCCGACCACGTCATTTCGTGAAGAAAATGATGTTTTTCGGATATAAGTTCAGCTCTCCCTCTCTTCTTTGTAACAACTTGCAGCACCCCTTTTTATCCGACGAAATTGACCCATGGCACTACTGTGTAACATTTGACTTGGTCCGGCCAGAATGGCAACGTGACATGACTGGCTCGTGTTGCAGCTTGGGGGAAGCTCGTACGACGTGCTCCTGGGCCGGCGGGACGCGACGACGGCGAGCATCGACGACGCGGACGACACCATCCCGAACCCGTTCATGGACCTGCCGGAGCTGCTCGCCAACTTCCAGGCCCAGGGCCTGTCGCTCCGGGACCTGGTCGTGCTCTCGGGCGCCCACACGCTCGGCTACTCCCGCTGCGTCTTCTACCGCGACCGCCTCTACAACGAGACCGGCAGCCTGGACCCGACCTACGCGGCGGCGCTGGACGAGCGGTGCCCGCCCGCCGGCGACGATGAGGCGCTGGCGTCGCTGGACGACACGCCGACGACCGTGGACACGGACTACTACCAGGGCATCACGCAGGGCCGCGCGCTGCTGCACACAGACCAGCAGCTGTACCTGGGAGACGGGGGCGACAGCGACGCGCTGGTGCAGTACTACGCCGAGAGCCCGGACAAGTTCTGGGCGGACTTCGGCGCAGCGATGCTCAAGCTGGGCGGCCTGAGCCCGCTCACCGGCCAGGACGGCGAGGTCAGGGAGGACTGCAGGGTGGTGAACCAGGGGTGATCAGATTGCTGCTGGCACGCGCTCGCGGAAACGATGGCACGATAGAGCTGGCGTGGTGCTTTTGGGAGCAGAGTGCTCTGCTTTGCGTGTAGTACTTTCTTGATTTTGTCACGGTTTCGTTGGCATGTACGTGTATAAACCGTTTTTGTTGGAGCTGCAAGATTGTTATTTAAAAAAAACGAACAATGATCTTAACTTTGAATTAACAAAACCATCAACCGCCAAAAATTACATCAACAATGGACCACAATGGCCAAAGGATGCAAGGGAGCACCCTAAGAATCTTACGACTCAACGTAGAATACAAGCTCGAGAAGAAAAGATTGAAGAACATTGCTTGTATACGCCAAAGATCGCAGCAAAAACACGCGCCAAGGATGAGGACCTGCCTAAATAAAATATAGTTAAGGACTTTGGCTGGCTCAAAGTGTGGAGGAGTCCAAACATCTCCCTTCGCTCTCGCCGCAAAGGGACCCTTCCGTCTCGCCTTGGCTCGAAAGGTGTTGTATCGACGGACCTGAGAGACACTTGCCCTAGAGCAGGATAGGTGTTGGCCTTGTGACCTGGAACAACCGCAGACCGCAACCACCTTGGATATGAGCACACCACATCTGCCACACTGTTGCAACCTAGGACACCTGAAAATAGCAGGAAAGCCACCAGTAGCATCCACTGAAGAAGAGTCATCAAGGACATCGATTGGAGGCCACAAAACGTGGACGAGCAAGGGCCGGCGGCCATTGAGGAAGAGAACTGGGAGTCCACACCAGGGACGCATTGCTACTGCCGAGAAGGGGAACCCTATTGAGGGAGTCCTGGATTAGGGGGTGTCCGGATGGCCGGACTATACCTTCAGCCGGACTCCTGGACTATGAAGATACAAGATTGAAGACTTCGTCCCGTGTCCGGAAGGGACTTTCCTTGGCGTGGAAGGCAAGCTTGGCGATACGGATATGCAGATCTCCTACCATTGTAACCGACTTTGTGTAACCCTAACCCTCTCCGGTGTCTATATAAACCGGAGGGTTTTAGTCCGTAGGACAACATACACAACAACAATCATACCATAGGCTAGCTTCTAGGGTTTAGCCTCTCCGATCTCGTGGTAGATCTACTCTTGTACTACCCATATCATCAATATTAATCAAGCAGGCCGTAGGGTTTTGTCTCCATCGAGAGGGTCCGAACCTGGGTAAAACTTCGTGTCCCTTGCCTCCTGTTACCATCCGGCCTAGACGCACAGTTCGGGACCCCCTACCCGAGATCCGCCGGTTTTGACACCGACATTGGTGCTTTCATTGAGAGTTCCTCTGTGTCGTCGCCGTCAGGCTTGATGGCTCCTATGATCATCAATGGCAATGCAGTCTAGGGTGATACCTTCCTCCCCGGACAAATCTTCATCTTCGGCGGCTTCGCACTGCGGGCCAAGTCACTTGGCCATCTGGACCAGATCGAAAGCTATGCCCCTGGCCGTCAGGTCAGATTTGGAAGCTTAAACTACACGGCTGACATCCGCAGGGACTTGATCTTCGACGGATTCGAGCCACTGCCGAGCGCGCCGCACTGTCACGACGAGCATGATCTAGCTCTGCCGCCGAACAGTGCCCTGGAGGCCACACCCGCATCGGCTTCGACCCTTAATTTGGAGCCAACTGCGCCGATCGAGGATGGGTGGTTGGACGCCGCCTCGGGGGCTGCGATCCCAACGGCGATCGAGCCAAACACTAGCCCCATACTCTGCGAGACTCGTGACTCCAAGGAGCCGGACTCCTCTCCGGATGCTGAACCCTCCGCGCCCTGCCGATCGAATCTGATTGGGCACTGATCATGGAGTTTACTGCCGCGGACATCTTTCAGCACTCGCCTTTCGGCGATATTCTGAAGACACTGAAGTCTCTCTCTTTATCAGGAGAGCCCTGGACGGACTACGGTCAGCAAGGTTGGGATTCGGACGATGAAGAAATTCAAAACCCACCCACCACCCACTTTGTAGCCACTGTCGATGACTTAACCGACATGCTGGACTTCGACTCCGAAGACATCGACGGTATGGACGCCGATGAAGGAGACGATTAAGAACCAGCACCTATCAGGCCTTGGAAAGCCACCTTGTCATATGACATATACATGGTGGACACCCCAAAAGAAGGAGATGGCGATGGAACAGCGGAGGATGACCCCTCCAAGAAACAGCCTAAGCGCCGGCGTCAGCGGCGCCGCTCAAAATCCCGCCAAAACAAATACGGTGATTGATGAAGCTATGTACCTAGGATAGGGGCATGGACCTGTACTAAGTACCCTACCCAAGGACATCCCTAGAAGAAGTCACCTTTCAATCGACTTGGAGGTATCCCACTCGACAGATTCAAGACACTCGACCATGAAGCAATCACTCGACCAAATTCCAACCACTCGACTGCCAGGAGATCTAAAGTCACCCTGCACGCAAACGGTCGGTCATTAAGTAGCTTTTATGGTCATCATAGCACTTTATTAGGGGCGTTACCAGTAACCCCCAGTCTTAATGTACTTTAAACCTTGCATTACTGAGGGCTGGAGGGGCCTGGCGAACTCTATATAAGCCACCCCCCTCCTCAGTATCAAGGGTTGGCACCCCTGTTATTCATACACACATAATTCAGTCGACCGCCTCCGGGCACCGAGACGTAGGGCTGTTACTTCCTCCGAGAAGGGCCTGAACTCGTAATCCTCGTGTGCTTACAACTCCTCCATAGCTAAGATCTAGCCTCTCCATACATACCCCCCTACATCACTGTCAGAGTTAGAACCACGACAGTTGGCGCCCACCATGGGGCTAGGAGTCTTAGCGCCTAGTTTGAGAAGTTGCAATTTTTTCCGATCTTCTTGATCATGGTTTCGGGCGGAGCTTTGGTGGAGGGCCGCGAGATCCGTCTCGGCGCACTCAGGTTCATCGCCGACGACTCCGCTTGGCTTCAGGAGGCTCCACTCGACGTCGACGCACTCCCCATCCGCGGGGCGACGCACTTTCGCGCATGCGTCCGTGGTGTCCTGCGGCAGCCATCGACCCAGTATCGATCGGCTCCCGTGGCATCTCCCCGCCCTGTTTCTCGCCGGCGCAAGCGCTCCGGTCGGTCGAGGCTTCAGAGGTGGGTGAGGCATGCGGTGGCCCGCCAGTCGGCCACCCCACAAGTCGCGGCAATCTAGCCCGACGAATCCCTCTACGGCCTGTTCGACCTGTCGACTGGCTCCGCAGAGACCGCATCCGAATGCGATAGGAGTGACCCAGCTGCAGAGGTTCTGGTGATCGATGGGCCACACAGTCCTCCCGGTTTCCCCCGCGCTGACGGAGGCGAGGATGGGGGCGACCCGTCGCGTCCTCACGAGGAGTATCTCCCCGAGCCTCTCACGTCATTGCAGCGGGAGGAACTTCGCCGCCGGAACATGGATGCACTCCACACTCCTATCGTTGGAGAAACCCCCGAGGCCCGAGCCTTGGAGGACGCGCGCTTGGCTAACTTGGCCGAGCACACTCGACTGGAGAATCTTCAGCGAATACTCGACGGGCGAGCGTGTCAACGGGCTCCAGAATCCAGTCGACATCAACTCTTTCCGCCCCCGCAGGTATATCGTACTCTGATTCAGAATTTGGCGGCTGCGGCCCGTATAGCAGAGTCGATTCAGCCCTCTCAGTCAGAGGCTGGCAGAGGCTTGTTGCAAATCAGAGCGTTGCTCCGGGCAGCGGGAGACCAGAATTCCGCTGTTTCTCAGTCGTGGAACAGGATCCACAGTCGATCCATTGCAGCGGATACAGTCCAGTCGGCTCACAGCCCAAGATCGCCTCCGAGGCGTGAGGGACGTGGAGACCGGTGTGATCAGTACAGAAGGAATGAGCAGTATGATCACCGATTCGATCATGATGATCGACGTCGAGTGCCAACCCCTCCCCCGAGGAGTGGGTCATATGTCCCTCGACAGCAGGAGAATCCCGTAACTAACTCATTAGCTACATTGCTTGCAAGGCTTATAGTGATGTACATTACTGAGAGGGCCCAAAGATACCTCTCCGACAATCGGATTGACAAATCCCAATCTTGATCCATGCCAACTCAACAAACACCATCGGAGACACCTGTAGAGCACCTTTATAATCACCCAGTTACGTTGTGACGTTTGGTAGCACACAAAGTGTTCCTTCGGTATTCGGGAGTTGCATGATCTCATAGTCATAGGAACATGTATAGTTATGGAGATAGCAATAGGAACAAACTAAACGATCATCGTGCTAAGCTAACGGATGGGTCAAGTCAATCACATCATTCTCTAATGATGTGATCCCGTTAATCAAATGACAACTCATCTCTATGTTTAGGAAACATAACCATCATTGATTCAACGAGCTAGTCAAGTAGAGGCAAACTAGTGACTCTCTGTTTGTCTATGTATTCACACATGTACTAAGTTTACGGTTAATACAATTCTAGCATGAATAATAAACATTTATCATGATATAAGGAAATATAAATAATAACTTTATTATTGCCTCTAGGGCACATTTCCGTCAGTGTCCCAGTTGCACTAGAGTCAATAATCTAGATTACATTGTAATGATTCTAACACCCATGGAGTCTTGGTGCTGATCATGTTTTGCTCATGAGAGAGGCTTAGTTAACGGGTCTGCAATATTCAGATCCGTATGTATCTTGCAAATCTCTATGTCTCCCTCCTTGACTTGATCACGGATGGAATTGAAGCGTCTCTTGATGTGCTTGGTTCTCTTGTGAAATATGGATTCCTTTGCCAAGGCAATTGCTCCAGTATTGTCACAAAAGATTTTCATTGGACCCGATGCACTAGGTATGACACCTAGATCGGATATGAACTCCTTCATCCAGACTCCTTCATTTGCTGCTTCCGAAGCAGCTATGTGTTCCGCTTCACACGCAGATCCCGCCACGATGCTCTGCTTGGAAGTGCACCAACTGATAGCTCCACCATTTAATAAAAACACGTATCCGGTT